ATATTATGCCTGTTGGGAGTGATGAGTTGGCACATATAGATGCTAAACTGGATCTATCTTTTTCACCTGTTATTTCAAATGCGACTCATCTGAATTAGATCGTACTGTAACTGTTACAACACAGCCACTTCTTTTCCCCCTCAAACACAAGAGAATGTTGTAGATTTATGATGATACATTTGTTCCTGTTTCTGAATAAAAGAACCGGCCTGCGCTGACCTGGCATATGACGGGATAGGCAGGGTGACACGACCCCACTTGTTATAGATATCAGAAACCAGAAGTCGCTGCAGAGTGTACGAAGAGCAGTCGGGGCTTGTGGGCAGGCAGTCTCTGACCACAGGCTGCCAGGTCAAACCAAGATCCAGGGAATATTCTAACTCTACAGCTGCAGAGAAACCAAAGAGGTTAATTTCTTTACTCCACTTATTTTCTTTTAATACTGCACCAATAATGGCTTTATTAATAGTACTTACAGTAGCAGGAGTTTGTGACTGAGCAGGAGGCAGAAAAGTCAAACTGGATAAATGCATCTTGACCCAGACTGATGTCAGTGGTGACGGCATAGCGTGTGTTGGACTTCTCAATAAAAGCAAAAGCGGGTCCGTCTGAGCCACAAACAGGCATTCGGGTCCCTCCTGGGTGGAGGAGCCATGAACGTCCATCGATTGAGGAGAAATCATCTTCTAGTGGTCCCCAGCCACTGGCACTGCCACCTACCACCACCTATGGATTAAAAAAAAGCAAATGTTTGCATGGTCAATGCAAACAAGGAAGGAATAAAAAGTAAATTAAAAGGTTTAAGATAGTTTAGATAGATAATAATCTTTTTTCAAACCAGTATTTAATTATAAATGATTGAAACACTTGATGAATGGCTGTTTGGATGATTATCAATGTACCTGATCAATGACCCACGGGCTGTAAAAGTGTCCATTTTCAGAAGGTTGCCACCACCGGAGGCGAGTGGACGTGGTGCGGGCACGCAGTGGGATCTCCAGGGCAACCAGACGAGCCTGATTACTGCTGTTGCTGAAGAGGAATTCCTGCAGGAGTCCCCAGGTCAGACCTCCATCCACAGAGAACTGCAGCAGGACCGGCTGAGAACGGGGGTCCGGTGGTGCTTTACCACAACCGAGGCGTAGGAAGAACTGAACAAACCTGAAGAGCCCAACAATCAACGTATGACATTCAGCTAGATTCAAAGAATGCAGGAAAGGGTGATTTTCCTAAGGACTTGCATGATGACTGTTTTGGAGGGCTGGACCACTAACCTTATAAGGACATAAAATTAATAATGAGAAAAACTGAGTTCAGCCTGTTGGTGGGGCCCTCCACAACAGTCCCAGTTCATCATGTAAGTCCTTAGAAAAATTAATCACCCACTCATAAAAAAATGGCTTAGATCAGTTATTTGGAAAAAAAAAAAACATAAATGTTTATTGCATTCATTCTTTGGTCCAGATGTAGGTATACCTTGCATTTGACAGGTCCATGTCATTGGTGACCAACATGCGTAGGCCATCCTCACTGAAGAACAGGTGGTTCCCACTTGACATGATGCCACACTTCCTGGATGGTTTACCACCGCTCAGGAGTCTGAAGTGTTCAGCAGCTCCCCCTACAAAAGAGGAAGTGGAAAGTGTGTAGAATTTACAAACATACAAAACTTTTTTGCAAACAACATGAATGCATGAAACATAATTAACATAACAAGAGTAAAAAAAGTGGAAATATAATGCTTTAAAATGTTCTGGAATTAACTAATTTTCACTACAGTGAATGAAATAACCCCAAAAATGCTCACATGCTATTTCACATGGAGACAGAAGGTGAATTCCAGCAGCCATAAAAGTGTAAACTTGTATATTATATAACCAATAAATATGACTTGGATCCATAATTATAATCTAAGTTTAAATATAAGATTTAATATGCTTCTATATGTTGTTGTACCTTCAAAGTCCTCTTTAAGGAAGTCAGGATTGGGGGTGTCAGGCACAGAGCAGTCAGGTCCAGAGTAGCCAGGGTCACATACACAGTGACTACCACCCACACAGGCTCCATGACCATTACACATGTCCTGACACTGTGGGCCAATGTAGATGTTGTCTAGGGCCCATGTTGGAGGAGAAGAACCAGTTGAGAAGAAACCTTGATACCAGCGGAACCTCACTGACCTATGAAATAAAAAAGAAAACTAAGGATTAATGAGGCAGAGAGACAGACATAAACAGACTGCATCCTGCAAGAAACTCATTAAGGAACAGTATAGTATAGTATAGTCAAACTGTTATGTATTTAAACCGTTATAGTCCTTACCCACAGAGGCGGAGTTTGCCAAACTGAATTACCTCCCTTCTCCAGCCCTGAGTAGTGCCAGGGAAATAGATACTGGCAGGGTGAAGCTCTGTGGAGCAAAGCGAGGACGGTTGTGGTCCGCCTGCACACAGTGGAACCAAGAGGTGCCACGTGGCACCAAAGTCCCGTGAGAACTCAAGACGCACGGGGTAAGCAGAGGAGCTTTCAGCTGTGCAGCCCACATTAATCTGGAGAGACACATACAAACAACATGAGTGAAGATGACAAGCCAGGATTTATTTGTTTTTACTGTAAGATTTACGACCGTTGCTTTGATCAAGAAGTCAGTGTACCTCAAACTGGATGATCGTGTTCTCATTTACATCAATATCTCTGGTGGTAATAGAGTGCTCTCCAAGCTCACTGGAGACAAACACCATAGCTGACTCATCCTCCTCCCTGCATCAATCACATTTAAGGGTAAAATTATATTTTGCATGTTTCATCATCAATGAAAGCACAGATGAAGCAAAAACCCAAACACAGTCACGAATGACAGTGTCATTATCAACAAGTTCTTACAGGCCAGTCTTCTGGTAGGGGCAGTAGAGACCAGTGTTTCCCCCTGGAGAGAACAGCCAGTTGGACTCATTGGGGCCTTCCTCAAAACTGTCTATCACCACTGGGGGGTTGTGCAACGAGCTGCCATCAATGATGAGATCATCTATCACCCACACTTCCTCCTTCTTGCCTAAAGGGGATAATATTGTGGAGATTAAACACTCAATCGGGAAATTTGACCTTCCAAGTGGGAAAGCAAATGTGAGAACAATAGTTGTAATAAAAGTGAATATGGATGAGCGACATCTAAGCATAAAAGTGGTGGTTTCATACTCACCGCTGTTGTAGGGTTGCCAGAGTCTGAACCGAGTGGCGTTGGTCTGAGCGCTGGCTGGCAGTGGCAGGTGAAGGAAGAGAGTGTCAGTTGAAGCTGGGAAATAAAACTCATCTAAAAGCAGCCAGCTGATTCCTCCATTCACAGAGTACTGCAGCAGCACTGAGTGTGAGCGCTCTGGCACACCTAGAGAGACCCAAAAGGATGTACTGTTATACTCATATGACTTTAATTTGTTGTTTACAAAAATGTAGCTATAAAAGTGAGTTTTGCAGTACCTTTAGTGATGAATTTGAAGGAAAACTGGATATAGAGAGTACTCGTGCAGTCAAGATCCCGGGACACAATCATTCGCAGACCATCCTGCAAACAAACAAGTTTGTTGTTGGTCAGTTCGGAAATGTCAGTGATCTGAAGAGTTCAAGCTGTATCTGTTTGATTCAGCTGGCTCTTCTCTGCATGGTGTTTAGGATGCCTACCCCTTTGAAAATAAGAGCAGTGCCAGACTTAAGAGGCTCTCCGCTCAGAGTTCCCCTCTCGGCTCCATAAACTTCAGGCCAGGTTTCCTGTTGCAAGTTCTCATTAAAGTCCTCTCTTAGCACAGATGGCAGTGGGGCCAAAGGCACACAGTGCGCCCCTCCATAACCCTTGTCACAACTGCGTGAGCACAGGAGAAAACAGAAAGTTAAGAAGGATTTGCATCTCTGTAAAAAAAGCGACTTTAAATGAATGAACTGTGTAGAAAAGCAAGCTTTTACATACACACAGTGCCCGTTGTCACAAAGACCATGTCCAGAGCACATCCAGGGGCAGCCAGGAGCAAGTAGCACATTATCTAGAGCCCATCCTTCTGCTCCAGGGGTAAAATGGGTCTGAATCCAGCGGAAGCGAGTTCTAGGGGAACTGAGATCCAAGAGTTTGTAGCTCAGAAGAGTAGCTTAAGAAAAATACAGCAATTCTCTCTACTGTGTTTTAGAACATAAAAACACATACTTAGCTGCACTAGGCAGGTAGACGGTGATCCTCCTCCAGTGTTTGTACTGCGTTGATGTATAGATGGAACTCTGAGTATATCCAGCACAGCCGATGGCTGGGGGCACACACTCTGGTGTGATGAGAGACCAGTGGCGACCACAGTCTGTGGAGTACTCCAGTCGCACACCGTGGGAAAAGGAGGTGGACTTACTGCAGCCCATGCTCAGCTCAAACTGCAGGAATGAAGAGCCTGTGACCTCAAAGTCCCAGCTTTCTGCATATCTGGGTTTTTCTGTAAGCATAGTATAAGAACAACGTTACATGCATCCAGTTCCTTATACTAATTTTTTTTAGTGTCTGTAAATGTCAAAATGTTGTGAATTATATTTGGTTATCATATTGTATAAAGATTACTTATGTAAAAATTCCAATAGGTAAATGTTGAAATGTGGCCATGTTTTGAGAAAAGAGCTTGACAATCAGTGTTTCATGTGTTCGCACAGGCGCACGGGAGCTTTATGTTTATAGATGCGTTGCCAAATTGCTCTTGCTGTGGCCGTGTAATGAATGGCCCAGTTGTAATGTACTATTTGTAAATCCGCTACGTGTAAATCCGCTCACAGCATGGTGCAAGCATAAATAATAGGCAGGATGTTCAATCAGGTTTGCGCTCATTAATAATGCAGGACCCATGGCGCCACAGTAAATGGGTGATTCAATTTCAGTCTGTTGTGTATAAAATATGCTGTGATGTCCCTGCACTGCTACTTGTGTGGCTTGTTTGAGGCACTTGTGAGTAGGAATGTTCAGTAAGTCCGCGATATATTGGATGAGCTTAATCATAATCACAATGTGTACTATACGCGTTCCAGTTGTTTAATATTGCAACGTCTTTCCATTTCTTCTTGTGCAACTGAGTAGTGCAGCTCTTTTGCTTTGCATTCACGCACTTCGAAATATTCACACTACAAACACAGCAGCTTCAAAGCGTTTGTAGCGTTTTACTCAGGGTGCTCTTGACAAAGTTGGTGTAGCAGCTGCTTAAGTCTCCTTTTAACATGCATACAGTTTCTTACACAGTCTTCCAATTAAAACAACAACCCTGCAATCATAAGAGTGTTTCTCCAACTAAATGTGTGTATGTGCTTAGGACTGGCACTACGATAGAGTGACTCACTGTCAATGGCCTCAGAGTTGAAGGTAAGAGCCGTGTCCAAAGACAAACAGTCCACGGTCACCTCCCCACCCTGAATGCGGTACCAGTTGTGCCTCAGAGGGGTTGTGCCGTCGAACTTGTCGTGAAAACCTGTCCTAGAGCTGTCGTTCATACCAATCAGAACATCATCCAGAGCCCACTGGGCAGAGTGTTTCCCTACAACAAAGGGGACAAAAAATGAAAATGAAAAAGAAATCAACCAATCAAATTTCTTCTCTAATAATATGGCAGTTTTGTGCTGTGTTTTCCTGAGTCAGCACACTAACCTTGCTGTGGTTGCCACCACCGGAACACTGTATAGGAGGTCTTTGCTGGAGGTGGCAGCTCAATGGTCACTACCTGGGGCTCCAAGAAGGAACTAAAATCCAGTTCCCTTAGGAACTGCCACTGGACGCCATTGTTGGTGGAAAACTGGACAATGACACCTAAAGCACACAAGAAAGTGAATGGATCCTTTTAAATGAATGAAACACAAAATAATGTAATGGCAGCCCTGAGGATAACAGACAAACTGTTTAGGAGGCTGGCAGTGTTGGATCTGACACAGCAGAAATGAACAAACTGAACCTTTGGCAATGCTGCAGGGTAAAAATGCAGTGTGTGCTGGCTGATGGACAGAACAGATAGCAGAGATCAGATCTGTAGCTGCACAGCTCTGGTTGGATCACATCACAAGGCTGATCAAAGACTGAGCAAGAAGGAACAGATGGAGACAAGCCGGTGGTAAAGTGATCAGAGCAGATGTGGAGTTGCTCTCTCTACAGACTGCACTGTTAAGGACAAGCCACATGGATCCAGCAGAGGGCCTCAACACAACACATGAAGCACTGACATATGGCTTCTGTGGATTGAAAATTACCTTCATTGCGGGAGCGAGGCCTGGTGCAAGTGGGTCCTAAACTCTTGCTGCCAATTCGGATGTAGAATTGAACCAACCTGTATGCAAAGATTAAGAAAAGTGAATTTCATATTCCAACATTTTTACACATTAAACTGTCTTGAGTGTTTAGCCCCTTCTTTTTCCAACCATCGGTCCTGAAAGATGAGAATTATTTTGGATTTTACAGCTAAAATTAGAAAATTAGTCCAGGTGGCCTGTTTGATTCTTGGGTGATAAAGGGTTAAAGGGCGATCGTGGCTCAAAGAGTTGGCAGTTCGTCTTGTAACCGGAAGGTTGCCGGTTCGAGCCCCGGCTTGGACAGTCTTGGTCGTTGTGTCCTTGGGCAAGACACTTCACCTACCGCCTACTGGTGTTAGCCAGAAGGGCCGATGGTGCGATATGGCAGCCTCGTTTCTGTCAGTTTGCCCCAGGGCAGCTGTGGCTACAAATGTAGCTGCCTCCACCAGTGTGTGAATGTGAGAGTGAACGAATAGTGGAATTGTAAAGCACTTTGAGGGCCCCGAAAAACGCTATATAAATGCAATCCATTATTATTATTAAAGGGATCTGTAGTTTTCCTCTCACCGTGTGTTGGTGGTGTCTAGAGGAACTGTACGTGCTTCTCTCCTTCCAGGACTGCTAAAGTAAAGGGCCTTGCCCTCACCAATGATGCCACAGCCACCTCCGATGTGTCCCCCGCTGAAACTCTGCCAAAGTGGGCTCAGTTTCCCCTCAAAGCCCTCAGTGAGCTCTGTGGGACTGGCCACAGACGGGACACAACTATCCTGCTCCACTGTGAAAAATATGAAGACAATAAAGTTTAAATAAACAAAAAAAAGCCCTTCTTTGTCTTTCCTTTCTTTTAATTTCCTTTCTATAATTCTACCTTACCTGTGTATCCCATATCACAGAAGCAGACTCCAGAGATGCAATCACCATGTCCTCCACAGTGGTTTGGACAGGGCTCAGAGATGTAGACCCCATCCAGAGCAAAGGGTGGAGCATCTCTGTACACACTACTCTCCTGGAACCACCGGAACCTCGTTTTACTAGAAAATTAGGCAGGTGAAGCCATTTCAATTGGAGTTTTCAATATTCTCAAATATTTTCAGTCTAAAAATATGTTAAAACAAATCACCCCCCTCTTCCCAACCCCCCCAAAGAAAAAGAAACCCAGTAGTACAGCTTTGCATCTCAAATTACATGCCTGTTACCATAGTTACCTGGCTGCAACATTACGTGGTATAACCACAGTGACCCTGGTCCACTGTTCATAATCTCCAGTGTTGTAGACAGCTGGTTCTCTCAGCTCACGACCACTGCCCTCACAGACCCCAGCCCCCGGGGTGCCTGGGTAACAGCCCTCTCTCACCAGGGCCCAGGTGCGACCAGCATCATGGGAGTACTGCAGCAGCACTGGTGCAGAAGCACTGAACTCTGATTCACAGCCGATGTTCAGCTGGCATGGATGGAGTAGAGGGGAAAAATTGCACATCTTAGGAAATCTCACATTTGCTTTAAGTTGGTTTAACATTCCTACAGTGGGTACTTCGCTACAAGCCACTTTGCAACCCACCACTGTGTCCTGAAATGTCTTTCTTAATGTCATCCAACTTTTACATTTTTAATTTCTGTAGTTTCCACCTACTTTAAACTGGAGGGTGTAGCCAGGGCGCAGAGCTAGGTCCCTGGTGACAGCCACCCTGTCCCCGTCAGAGCGCCCGAAAACCATAGCAGAGGGAGTTGGGGCACAGAAGCTGTTGTTGTTTTCTCTCTCCATGCCTTCATTACCTAGCATCAGCCAGACACTCATCTGGTTCAGGGGGTAGTCGAATGCTGGTTTCTCGTAGAAGTTCTTCAGAAACAGAAGATACCAGAGTTATTTTTCTGTTTTGTGCTAATATTTTTTTTGAAGGAAAAAGGATTTATAAAAAGATAAATGGAAGTCTTTTTTATTTAGATTTTTAAGAGCTCATAACTGTTCTATGTCAGCATGGCTGACATGTTCTAGTACACCAAATAAAATTCCCATATCAAGAATAAGCCATAGCTGCTATACAAGTTCACAGCACAAATTACAAGTTACTAGAATAACTCCTTAAGATGATCCCTGACCTGCGGCAGAGTAGGATTAGCCATAGGGATGATGTGTTTCTCCCTCTCTGACAAAATTATGATATCATCGATTGCCCACTGGTCATAGCCTTCCCCCGAGTGAAGAGGCTGCCACCAACGAAACCTTGTGGAGGGGGTTTTAGAGGTCAAGGGAAGCTCGTAATGCACAAAACTGCAAAAGAGGGGAGACAGGTTACACATGTTTCTTTTCCTATAAGACATCCAACAAATACTTCATGAGCTCTGTCCTCCTTTCTTCCTCTGCAGGTTTCTCACCGAGGCTTGGTGAAGTCAGTAAAGTACATCTCAGCAATGAGGCCCCAGCTGATGCCTCCATCATTGCTGTACTGCAGGAGAACTCCTTCCTCCCTGCTGTCTGCCTGGTTACACTCCGCCCAGTCTCCACCCACCCGCAGGTAGAACTGGACAAACTCTGCCCATTCAGTGTCCAGATCCCAGCTCACAAGCTGCCTAAGCCCAGCCTGAGAGTAACATACAAATGAATTAATACATATTAAGTGTGGGAAGATCAGCTAGAAACACACTTTACAGTCCGACATAATTTTAAAACAAGGGTGGGTACTCCTGGGTACTCCAGCTTGCTCCCACAGTCCAGAGACATGCTTATTAAGTGAACTGATTACTTTAAATTGGCTCTTAGTGTGAAAGTGAGTGTGTGTCTCTCTGTTTTAGCCCTTCAAAAGACTAGAAACCTGCTCAAGGTGTACCCCTGCCTTTCCATGACAGCTGAGATAGGCCACGCCTCCTGCCCTGAACGGGAAAAGTGGTTAAGAAAACGAATGGATGGATCAGATATATCCCACACATGGTATCTGGAGCCAGTTGTGATCCAGTAATCAATATATAATTATATGTTGAAGATGGGAAATCTGTTGCCATTTTCTTCGTAAGCAAACTTGGAATGAGGAGACGTTGTTTGCTAAAGCAATGTTCCAGCTGTGGACACTAATTTTTGGCTGCCGCAATATGTGAAACAAGCGATGTGCAGCTGCCTGAAAATTGTGAATCTCCTCTGTCCAATCAAATCAAAAGCATGTGCAATACTTCTCAGAGCTATTGAATAATTAAATAAAAAAATATTTTCGAGCAGAGCAGAGGTAATCAGAGTTCAAAGGGTAGCAATTTTTGGCAGCAAACACTAGAAAGTAATCAGGAAATGGATAGCGTATGCCAAGTTTTACACATATCTCTGAAGGGATTATTTTAATAAAAACAAATTAACTACACTTTTAATCTGGATCTAGATTTAGATCTAGATTAAATACACAAGACAATAACAGAATGTGTCTCAGATTTCTTTCTAATGAGCGCTAAAAATGAAGAAATTAAATGCTACATTCTTGCAGTGTTAGGAAGGGTTTTTTTTTTTTTTTTACAATGTTTGTTCTACTACAAATGTTTTAATTTTACTTTAATTTTACCCCAAAAGTAAAAAGAGCAAAAACCAGAAGAAGTTCATTTAATGTATTTCTACCTTGCTGAAGTACAAGGATGATCCAGAAGAAACCACACCACAGCCCATGTCAGGCGTAACCACCTCTCCACCTATCACCTCTTGCCATGTGGCGAGCAGTGCATCCTGGGACTCAAAGTCAGAAAGTACGCTAGAGGAGAGTGGGGAGGAGGGCTGGCAGTCTGTTCCAGAGAATCCATCATCACACCTGTAAGAGAAGTGAGTGCTTGAACGTTTTTATTCATTTGAACTTTAATACAGATTTTAACAAAACACCAGTGGAATGGTGCTACTGAGAGGTATGAAAAATGTAGTCAGTTTATTGCACGTCTGACCTGCAATGGCCATGGTCACACCAGCCATGCCCATGACACATGTTAGGACACTGCTGGCCAATGTAGATGTCATCCAGGGCCCACTCATCCTGCTCTCCGTAGTAGCTCTGGATCCAGCGGAACCGCGTTGCACTGGACCTGAACACAGAAAGCATCCTGAATGTTTCATAGCTGTAAAATGTTTATACTGTTTATACCAAAGATAATGCATGTAAATGGAAGGGGAAAAAATGGCAATATGGTATTTGTGCACCTGGCTGATCGAGCAAAATGATTAGAAAGGTCACTGATTGTTAAAAAAAAATGCATAAAATGGTCTGAAAAAGCGTGTCAATTACAGTTTGCTTCTTGGCGCAGACAACTGTATATTTAATGTATTTTGCAAGGTCAAGATTAACTTAAATGTGCACATTCCAGTGTATGTGTCTATGTGTGTGCTGCAGTAATGTCACAGAGAGGGCAATAACATTACACGTTCTCCATGTGGAAGGTAAATTGTGGATGTGTGCGGTGTGTTGGCAAATGTTTCGGTGGGGGTTTACTATATGCTGTATGTACAGAAATGATGAGTGGTAGCAGAAGCTAGCGCAGATAGGCAGTTATATTGGGGATTATATAGCAGAGCGGTTCCTTCGCCTGATGTGTTAGTGACCCAAATCAACTGAGACCACCTCATGATCTTTCTGACCTGACCTCGACTGTTTTATTATCATTTACTGCCATGACCCTTTGACCCGTCATCACACCCTGCAGGAGATTAGACCACCTTTATTTAGGAGCTGGAAAGCAGAATGAAATGGAGGTGGAGGTCACAGTGCTCGGTGTGGAAGGTTTACGTGATTACTTGAGCTGATATATGTGTGAGCTAAGGCCTTAACAATATATTTATTTCTCTTATTTGGCACTGGGTGACTGATTCACTATGGGACTTGCTTGAATTCATATTAAACCGAGCGGTTCTTTATCAAATATGTCTTCCAAGCCTAATGCAATGAAATTGCAGTCTTTGTATAGTACATATTACACTAGTCAGTCAACACCAGTTTATAGAGTTAACACTGGTACTGTACGGTGTGAAGCAAATGACGGAGAACTCCCCCATATCATTCGATAACTTGTTTGGGATGATTTCATTTTTTACCAGACAAAAAGTAGTGAACCAGACTGAAAAAGTGTGCCAACACTGTCCACCTCACGTCAGGTAAAATTATCTGCTAGGAACTGGCTGTATTTAAGCGCACACCCCTCTTGACAACACAAGCTTTTGAGGCTTGGGCTACATCACTATAATTAGTAAACACAAAGAGCTTGATCACGCCTGTAGAATCGCTTCATGTCTGCACAGCTCTGCAATTAAGCTGGAGAAGGACAGCCGTGCTAACTTTTGTTTTCTTGTTGACTGCGTTCCAGATAAAAATGACTCATAAGCCAATTTTTGGTGGCTACAACAAACAATTGAGAAAACACATTTGTGTTAATGTTGAGGGCGTGAAGAAGTGTTCTGTTTGCAATGCTGTAAAATGAATTGTCATATTAATTGCTATACAAGGGTTTTAACAAATCCTCATGTGTTGCTTTCTTGTTCTGTCTTTATACAACATTATAGACGTGCACAGCTGCAGACGCATGTCCATGTCTACATGGAAAAGCATTAAGGGTAATAAGTATGGGTGCTTTCCAGTATTCTGATTTTCTGCTGTATGTTATGGTTCTGGATGCATTCATGGCACATCATGCTTATGAAATGCAAAGAAAGCATGAAATTAACATCAGAGAATTTTTTTTCCCAAAGGGCAATTTGTAAAAATGTTCTTCTATGTCTCTACATGTGATCCTTACCATGTCTTCTGAGGCAGAGAAAGGGTTATGCGTCTCCAGTCTTTGAACTCTGATGGGTGGTAGACACTGGGAGCTGTAAACTCAGAGCAGCTTGGCATGCCAGGTAGACAGGCCTGTGCAAAAGAAATGAGCAGCTTCTTACTACACATTTTTACTCATACAGCCGACGGGGGGAGCACTAACTAACAGCAATTACTGAGAAGGAATTTTTTCCATTGCGGACTGCGCTTCGTAGTAAAATTCTTCAAAAACAGCTGCAGATACAGCCCAAAGCTTCATCATTCACACAATATATAAATATAAAAGGCTAATGGAGGATTAGAATATCTCTGACCTTGAACACAAGCAAAGGATTAACTGTACAGGACATTCACTGAGTTACATTGTGCACTTGCCAAACGACTGCATTTTCATGCACATGGGAGAATTAGAGAAAATTCACTGATAGAGGGCTCATTATGCTCTATTCAATTCCAAAAGCAATAAAAGTCTTGGCAGATACTTTGGTGCTTTATGAATATTTATGAGCCAGTTATGATCACTGAAAATCTTTGTTGAATCATGGGAAGATAATCTGCTTGCTGATTCAAGTATTGCCGTGTATTTGCTGATAGTGGGATGATTAAAAGTAATTGTGATAATTTCTCATCTGAGACAAAGTACCACATTTAAAGACATTATTTACATATTATTACCAGGACTGTAATGAGTAAATCAATATTCATGATCATGAATAAATGATGCTTCCGTGTCTTTCTCTGGGATGACTATCTCAAGTTTTAGTCACAAACAGATACTGCATGTGCACCGGCCTGTGATAACAAAAGCCACTGTTAATACATGGGGAAATAAAGGTGACTGTGCTTCAGTCTCCTTACCTCTTTCACCAGGTGCCAGGTGAGACCATGATTGGTGGAGAACTCCAGTCGCACTTGAGTGTCAATGTGAGGGGAGGGCTCGCGGCCACACCCCATGACCAGTGAAAACTGGAGACTGTAGGAGGCTCCGATCTGCATTGATTGAGTTTCCACATAGCGGATACTGGAGCCAGGACTGGGCTCACCAGAGAAACTAGAGTATGACATGGAGAAAAGAAATAAGAGTTTTCAAACCTTATACAAACCATATATATGCTCTAATGCTATAATACTGTTTGTAGAAATAAAGAGAATCCTGACAAAATTTAAAGAGTAAATCATTTTTATACCACCAGAGTTATAAATGACCATTGTGAAGCGTAATTAAGGTATTCAGTCATGTTTGAACCGAGTGGAAATTAATCTCTTCAAATACCAAGCAAAGACTAGTGTATTAATGCAAAAGAGCATTATGCACCTGAGGGTCCAGTCATGCTGACAGTACGGCTGGACATGGCCGAGATAGAAACCAAGACTCTGGGTGACGTCCAGCACGTTGCTGAAGTCAAGACTTATGGTGTTGAACAGCACAGAAGTCATGCTGATTTCATCCAGGGCCCACACGTCGTGGCCACGGCCCGAGTGGTACGGCTGCCACCAGCGGAACTGCACGCCGAATTTGCGAGCGCCGGATGGGAGTTCGACAGACACAATCCTAATGAAGGAAGGGAAACGGTTAATAGACGTGCGTGTTTGCAACGCGACTACCTATAGCTTGTTAAAAGCTGAGATAGCAGAAAGAAAAACTCAGGCATGATTTAGAATTAATGATCTGAAGGATAATTAATAACTACTGTCACAGAATTGAATAATATATTACTGTTTGTCATGTTCACACTTCTGTACGTGTTCATTCTTTAGCAAGAAAAAAAACCCTAAACTGAACATTGCTGATGTTAGTTCACATAAACAGTACGCAGGCACAAACGAGCAAGTGTAAAGTGATACATATTTGGATAAGCTGGTCAGCTGATATTAATCATACAGGCTGACTGAACTGTGACTCAGGTCTGACTTGGATTTTGAGCCCACACAATCACATCTGCTGTTTGTACATTTGGACAAAATGCATGGGCAGGATTTCTATTTCTAACCTGGATTTATAAATACAGATGTTATGCTGCTGCTAATTTTTCTTTCTCAACAATCATTATCATGATATCTTATGCAAGCATATACACCGATCAGGCATAACATTATGACCACTCACAGGTGAAGTGAAAAACACTGATTATCTCGTCGTCATGGCACATGTTAGTAGGTGGGCTATATTAGGGAGCAAGTGAACGTTTTGACCTCAAAATGCATGTGTTAGAAGCATCAGTTTGTTTGGTTTGTTTTTAAGAGCACAACAATGACTTTGAGGTGTTGACTTGGCCTTCAAATTCCCGAGATCTAAATCCAATCAAGCACCTGTAATCGAACATATAATGTAATCCCTGATTGAAGTATGCTGTTACAGTACTTATATCTGGCATTACGTAGTTGCTGAATCACTGTCCTCTGTTGACCTCTCTAGTGGAGATGAAGAGCTGTGTGACATAAGCTGAACACAGCTGAAACCCAGCCCACTCCGTCCACTCTTCATTACACACAAAGATGCCACTAACTGTCTCAATGGGTCCCAGCAGCAAACACCTCCAGCACAAAATTGACAGCACATACGTATGTGTTAATGGAGTCACTGAAACTCTATTGGTTTACAACCATTCGCACAAAGAGACACACACTCATGAGAAAATAAAAGATTTAAATATAGGAAGTACCTTGGCTCATGGAAGCCCTGATATGCATAGTGCTGCAGCAAGGTCCAGGTGATGCCGTTGTCTGAGGAGTAATGCAGCAGGACGCCCTCCCCTGGCTGGTCTGGAGCAGGACATGAGCTCAGGATGCTCCGACTGCCCAGCCGAAGAGTGAACTGCAGATACCTGCAGGGAATCAAAGATGACAGCGAGAACAAGTAGGGTCAACTGGTTAAGGAGCACGGTGAACGGCACAGAACAAGTGTACAAAAAGGAAATGACAGAAAGACAGAAGAGGGCACACTGAAAAATTAGAGAAAAAGAAAACCTAGGTCACAAAGAGTGTGTTCAAAGAGCAGAGAGAGTTGGTTAAAAAGGCAGATAAATAGACACTCGTAGAGTGAGGAGGTGGGAGCGAGGTGGATGATGGATGGGATGATTAAATGAATGAAGAGAAAACTTAATGAGACAGGTAAAAAAAACACTCAGCAAGAGTGTGAATGAGAGTCACAGTTTATACCCATGTATTCATGTAAACTGTAAATAGTCCCAATACAGAGCGAGTTTCTGTCATCTTATGTTTATTTGTGTTTTGGCAGACATATCCTCATCTATACTAATGTAAAATTTATTATAATTTCCATCATCTGTCTTGAGCTGCCAGTCATCCCCCCGCTCTCTGTTGCTGGTTGAGCTGTGCTTTCATTAGCAGTGCAGTTTCCTCTTCCAGGCAGCTGTTCACTCAATCAGCCAGGAAACTGGCATTAAATATGGCCATCAGGTGGCACACTCAGAGCCGCAACAGGCATAATCAATCTAACACAGATGCCATATCTAAATCCATCGTTCGCTCTCTATCATTCTCTCTCATATTTTCATCTCCACTCTCATCTGCAGTCCTCCCCATGATCACAATCCATCTCGGAGCACAGGAATACAGAGTATGAGGGAATGAGGGGTGGGCAGAGGAGGAGGGAGAATAGATGGCTGCCTGGAACATTTGCAGTATCAATCACAGGTACAGACACCTGCTGAAGACAAGCCACAGTTTTCCAAAGTAATCTGGCAAAACTTGTGCTCCCTGATTTCTCTGCTCATGTTTCTATATGCAGTACATTTCCATTCTGCTCTGCTGTATATAAGTACTACAATTACCTGGCTTGGGAACTGTCTAGTGGAGCCGTGACCAAGTGTCTCCTGCTGTCCCTGTTGAAAACCAGAGCCTTTCCGCTGGCAAGCACACCGCAGCCAAAGCTGACCTCAGCCCCACGAAGTGAGGAGAAGGTATGGTAGGAGGAGAGGCGTGGGCTGGAGAAACCCTCAGAAAGAAAAGCTGGAAAAGTCTGGGAAGCAAGCTCACAAGCTGGACCGCTGAAACCCGGATCACATCTGGGAAAGGAAAGAAAAAGACAGGAGACGATACACAAGATAACAATGAGAACAAAAGACGGAAATAATGAAAATTCGTTAATAACTCATAAACATAACATGTACGATCTGATTAATTTTGAATGGTTATTGGTGCTGTAAGGCATCATGTGGATGAGCAGGCTCGTTCTGGATTTATTTGGTTTAATAAAAAGTGGATTCTTACTTGCAGCCGGTGCGGGAACAATGTCCTCTTCCAGAGCAAAAACGAAGGCAAGCTGGACCGAAATACACTGAAGAGAAACAAATTAATTGTAATTAATCGTCAAAGAATCTCAGATGGAAATCCATCTGAGATTCTTTGATTTATGTAAAGCTAGAGATGACATGTTGTCCTCCCCCTGTCCCCCAAAGAGCCAAGTAACTTCCCAGAGGCGTAATCAAGGTGGCTGCCAAGTAATGGGACTTGTTTGCAGTAGCAGTTTGAGTAACCTTTTTATGTGTGTATTCAATTAAATATATAAATATCTGCTATACTAAATGAATAGATACTCTAATCACATCATGTATAATGGTGTTAGCATAAACCACAAATGTGTGGTCACTAAGATATATCACATCTGAACAAGGACAATTAAAATAAAGGTTATTCATGACACTTGTGCAGACACCAAATATATTGCATGGTATCCTGAGTAATTTTCATCAGCACTTCATATATCAGCACAGTTTGCACAGCAGCTCTGATTATGTTGATTTATACTGCTTATTGTTGAGTTACATTATTTGCATAATTAATATTTCCATCATGCCCTATTGGCACATACGCACAATCTGTATATACTTCAATGGAACATGTGATAAGGAAAATCTGGCCTTTATGTGCAGCTCATACCATTGTCTATAGCCCACATGTTGCCGGCTCCCGAGCCAGACTGCTTCCAGCGAAACCGGGTTGTCTCTGTCAGGGCGGCATTGGGCAGAGGAATAGAGATTCTGGTCCACCTGTGCAGACAAACAATAGTAAGATGAAAGAAATACAGGAACCCCCCCCCCCACCAAGGGTGCACACATGGAGATATGCACACTGATTTATACCCGCTGTAGTTGTCGGAGGAGTATATGGTGCTGTGAGGTAGATGGGGTCCTGCACAGAGCTCTGGCAGACACTCAGTATGGAGCAGAGACCAGGAACGACCGTGGTTGGTGGAAAATTCCAGACTGACACTAAAATAAAAAGGATCAGAGGACATCTCAGTGACCTAAATTGCTTCTCTTAACTTAAATTAGGTAAAAACTACGTCAGTGTGAGTGGTGTTAACTCCACCATCCCTCACTCCACATTTAAATACATCTGAGGGCTGCAGTTTGATTTAAATAAACAGAACTTTTAGTTTTATGTATGCATCATGAAAATAACTGAGTGACCTGGCATGTGTGAGACTCCTTTGTTGCTGCAAAATGTCATGTATTTGACTGAAAATAATGGAGATGTTCACATTCACAATACGCCTGGCCTAGTTTACAATGAGTCACACCTGTTGGCAGGCTGGTAGGAGCCACAGCCCAGGTTGATGGAGAACTGAGCAACATGTGTGTGGGTGCCAGGCAGCACGGGGAGCAGCTGCATGAAGTCCACGGCCCACACGTGACGGTTGGCACCGCCATGTGACCGCTGCTCCAAGCAGAACTGGGTGACGGGTGTTTGCAGCTCAGTCGGCAAGGCCACAGATACCACTGCAGGAGTCTGCGACAAGAAAGAGAGCGGATACAGTGAAGAGAGCAGAGCACAGGGGAGGCTAAAATTAGGGCAGTGACTGTGACTGTTTCTACGTTTGATTCATCTGCTAATTATTTAGTCAGTCGATTAATTGCTTGGTCTAAAAAAAGTCACAAAAGGCCACTTCTAATGATCAAACTGCTTGTTTTGGTCAAGCAGTTCGGTACAAAAATAGTCACTTTTTGTACGACTCGCAGGCAGCAAATCCTGTAGATGTGAAGCTGAAACAAGTAAACAACATATTTACTTTAAAAATGATAATCGGTTATCAAAAAGCCTCACAGCTGTTAATCTAATACTATTCAATCAGACAGAGCGCTTCAGGCTAACAAAGTTTATGCATGCCCAGTTTTTGGTGTATCTCACCCTGTAAGAAGAGTACGGCAGGGTGTCGAGCACCACACGCTCCCTCCTTCCTTCAGACCGTCCAAACAGAATCACGTCGTGTTCATGGGATTCTCCCGGCTCACAGTCCACACCACCTACACACAAACATGCCCTATTATGCTTATAGACATGCCAAAAACACTTGCACACCGTGGTTTATTAACTGCAACTACAGACTCTGGAGCTGTCTTCCTCTGAGGCTGAGTTCTGTGGACTCTGTGATCTCTTTTAAAAAGCAGCTACAAACTCCTCTTTTTAAACTTGCTTCTGGGTAACTTTTGTTTTGATGCTTAAGCTTCTGTTTTGATGTTCTTCCTGTGAAGCACTTTGCGGTATTTATCTTGAAAGGTGCAACATAAATAAAAACTGACTCAGTTTTACTTACAGCTAGACAGAGAGTATACAGATGGAGGATTTCCATACCCATGGTAAAGTAGAAGCGGAGGTTTCCGTAAGACGTGGTGTCGAGGTAGGGGGTGCACACTCGCCTCCGGCCCTCTCTGTCAAACACTAGCGCTGAGCCCGATTCAATCTCTCCACACTGGGTCCCATAGACGGCACCCTCTATGTCCCAGCTGAGTGAAAAATAACAAGGAGTGAAGGGTTTGTGAGAAAAAGACTGATCTAAACACAAAAGGTTTACATCAAAAAGGCAGCTCTATTTCTCACAAAGGGCTTAGATGGACCTGCATGTTTGATTTGGCGCAGGATGCCCCTCCTGACACAACCCTCTGCTGACTCGCAGGGATTTGTGTCTCCTCCCCATCTTGAACTGTGTTAACCATTATGCAGTAGAGTTATTAAGGAAAAATAAGCAGTGACTAAAATTTGTGAATAATTTTAAAAAGTCCTGCATCTCCCTCTGGAGTTTTCCTGAAATCAGGAAAGAGTTACAACTGCTAAACAAACACACGGTGTCAGAAATATGGCTTAAGCCACTTGGTAGAGGCATGCAGGACGCACTGACACATGCATGCACAAACATATTTCTGCACAGTAGAGAGAAGACTCTCATTAGTTCTGACAGAAGCCGGCTTCTATCTCCTCTCCCCTTTCCTTTCCCTCTGTCACTCCCTACTTTCTGTGTCTTTGTCACTGCCAGTGTTAAGTTAAATGACACTTGGCAGAGCGGAGTGTACCTTCAACGTAAAAAAATAAAATGAATAAAAAAAAGAAAAGAAAAAAATCTCCCTGCCTACTTCACACATGTTTCAGTGCCTGACGCCTGATGGGTGAGAGCTAGCATGCAGTGCAGCATGTTGGCATGCTGCAAGGAGGTGTGAAGGTGCGGGGCGGTTGTAGAAGCAAACTCCTGTTTGCGGTCCTTCTCATTAATGGAAAAACATGCTGACAGACACGGTGCATGGAGCTTGTTAATCACTCCCTGGCAGTAACGCCATCTATCATCTCTCTCCTTTCATCTCTCTTCCTCTTGCAGCGCTTCAGACAGTGCTCTCTGCTGTCCGGCGCGCGTGTGTGTGTTACTCTGAACAGATGGACTGCCATCTCTGTAGCAGTCAGAGGCACGGCGTTCACCTGTGTCGGCCCCCATGCTTGACTTGATCTTGTGCGACACACTGCATGTTTAATCGCTTGACATATGACAAGTGACAGGTGTCAGTGCATTTATGTGTATACATAGACACAGTAATATCTATCTAGTAATATCCCGTCCCTCTGATCCAATCACATCGTGCATAAGATAGCCGTTTATGATTCTGTTGACTCTCTTTCAGCCCTTCGTGGTTTGGCTCTGTTGTAGTTTAATCCTTTAATGACAGAGAAGACTCTGGTCTCGAAGCCAAGTTCAGTTTACTGCTTCAGCTTTATTGCGGTGGATGAAACTCCCTGTCAGTAAAGTCTCTCTCAGTATCTTCTAAAAAAGCTTTTAAAAATCTTTAATTCTTCATTCATCTTGACTTGACATTTCCTTGATTGTGGTTTTTTTTGTGTGCATGTAAAGCACTTTGTTTCTCTACCTTTGAAAGAAACAACAGGAGAAAAAAATGCCAAATTAAGATAAATATAAATCAAATAACTCAGTAAAGGGGGGATGGACATTTTTAATCCTTTAATGACACAGAACAGTCTGGTCTGGAAGCCAAGTTCAGTTTACTGTTTCAGCTTTATTGGAGTGGATCAAACTCCTTGTTAAGGTAGGTATAAATCAAATGACTCGCTACTTTGACTTACTTTAACGGTGGGCTCTCAAAGTCTTCCTCCCAGTAGCTCCGTCCCTCCTCACGGTGCAGATCAACGTCCCTGGTGGTGGCAAAGCTGTGTCCAGTTTCCTCACCACCATGGAAATACATGGCATTGCCTTCTGACTGACAGGCATGCTGGACAATAAGAATACAGATGAGAAATAGGACGCTGTGCCACTTATACAACCACATGATTACATTTATTTATTGCTTTCATACTGGAGTTGTTGTAGTTTCTTGCTTAATATATCTAAGATAATCTTATATAATCTTAATCTATCTGAGCATTTGACCACATTTCTAAGCAAATGACTGGGAAACAAAATCCTTGAGTATGCATTGATTGACTGGTGTACCTTGACAGTAGCTCCAGGGAAGAAGAGCCAGTTGGCGGTGTCTGGGGGATCCAAGTTTTCCTCCATCAGGGGGGTCCTGTGGGCGGCGTTGACCAGAAGCACATTGTCCATCCCCCAGCAGGACTCATAGCCTTCAGGGCCTTGGGGGGCCTCCTGAGACCAGCGGAGACGAACTCCATCGGCTCTGGCGGAGTGTGGAAGTGGAAGCAGGTGGATGATGGTGCTGCTGTTGGTAGGAGCTCTGGAGGAAAATAAAATATAGAAAAACAAGTGACTTTCTAAATGTGGAAGTCATGGTTTTGAAATGATGTTCAGTATTTACACAGTAAATAACAATCATCAATCATTTCAACGTAGCTGAAATAACCAAATAAGGAGAGACACAGCAGCTTTAAAAAGCAGCTTTAAGAATGAGTTGAAGTGTTTACGTGAAAGCAAAACATCCACTCAGTGCTGCTAAATATTGTATTAAGAAGTCTATTATTATATTATGCTTATGTTTGAAAGCTGACAAAACAGAGAGAGGTGGGGAGAGAGAGGGATTAAAAAACAGGTGGATCATCGAGGCAAACAGGAGAGGGATGACAAATTAAGAGGGGGAGGTGTGAACAAGGGAGAAAAAAAAAGAGGGCGGGTGTTTGTAACAGATGGAAGGACTGTGGGATGGGATGAGGAACAAGGAAGAAAAGGAGGAAAAATACCTGATCTTCTCCAGTGTGATCCAGTCATCTGAGGTGTTGGTGTTGCCACCGAGGCTGTACGACACAGTGATGCTGGGGTCTGAGTAACTGAAGCGGCAGGAGCCTGAGCCTGAGGAACAAAACATCAGCAGAGGACACACGTATATGATCGTTAACACTCGTGTTGAGGGTGAAGCTCCAAAATGTGCCGTTTAGCTATTATTTTTCATCAGCTGAGCTGTTTCCAGCCAGCCAATGAGCTTTTGCATGTGAGGCTACGAGATGTGCAATGGCTGTCTTTCCAGTGATTGCTCCCACATCGTCTCCATTAATGGAAAAATAATGTCTAAATGATGTCATGGTGGAACTGATCAGCAGCTTAACAGGGCTCAGTGACATCAGGAAGCTGAATGACGGGGCTGGGCAGAAATGACTGGAGAAGTCAGAGAATGACGACAGTACTAACTCCAGCCAGAAACTGTTCATCTGTGTGCGTGCGCGTGTATGTGTGTGTCATTATTGCTGCGCATTTCTATTTACAGAGTCAGAGAGGGATTGGACCGCTTTAAAATATGGTGTCGTGTGGGTGCTGCGGGATTAGGGAGGGTCAAAGGCTACTAATGGAGGGAGACAGGTAACCCCCACAGCATCCCTACCTTTCCTCTCCTCTCCCCCTCCTCCCACTTTACCGACGGTGTGTATTGTCCATGCCTCCAAAATGTTGCGCCATGCTGTTACATCCCCGCTGAATACAGCCATGCATTAACCCGCTGCCACTTCACAGTACTGCTCTACTAAACTGTTCAATACGCAACACAAATTCATACTGAGGACCTTCAAGCAAGAGTGCAGCCAGACAGAATGTTCTACATTATGTACTCTTATTTCCTCCTAGTCACGTTCCCATGAGAACTGGCGAATGCATGTAATGGACATGAAAAATACAGCACCTCTAAAAACTCTGCCATGGCCTTCTGGGTGTCTTTCCAGAATATTGTAAATCATTCATTATTGTGACGGGGGAGAGGGGAGGGGGTCGAATACAGTTTGTACAGGCTGGCTTCCTGACATCTAACAGTGGAAAAGATGCTTGTTTCCTGAGGATGCCATTGGGATCCTTGCACTGACTGGTTAAGACAGGGCTACCAAGGTTAAAATAAATATCCCACACATAAGCTGTCTGAATGTAGTTATTGTCTACAATGTGGAGATTTAATACTCACCCTGGGCAAACTGCAGGACTGAGGCAGTGCTGGTGTTCAGAGGTACAGTAGTCTGGGGAGGATACACAAGGCAATTTAGGATATTGCGGATAAATAGTTACATTAAGTTAGGCTTTGTAAATATATTATAGAATTCTTTAATCTTTTGTGCTGGATTAGCAGTTTAAGAGTAATCACGCTGGTGTCATTTGAGACCTTAAACCACTTTGTCTATTTTTTAAATGTTTGTTTGAGTGCGCATGAATGTATGCTGCCATTATTGATGTTGTTTTATTTGTCACTGTGTGTAAATGTTTCTGTGTTTCTGGTTGCGCACGCTTGTTGCGCTCGACAGAAGAGCTGCCAGGCAGCGGCATCAAACATTTGGAAGAGTGACAAACAAAGCAAATGCTTATCAGAGAAGTAAATAGCATCACGAGCCACTAAATACTTCTATGCTGAAGCCTGGCTTTAATCTCCTACAACTGAATAAACAGTCTGAAATCGAGTTTATAAAGATAGGAAGAGAGCATGGAAACGATTGTTGTGTCCCAACGCATCTGCTGTTTTCTGCTGTACAATAGTGTGTTCAGAGTATAACAGTTGCTGTGCTGCAGTTTGCAAGAGAAGTTTTAGCAAAAGGATAAATGCCAAACAGGTGCTTCAGCATCCTGAACAGGTTGCTGGTAGATAACTAGAAGCAAGCAGTCGTAGTAAGCAGCATTTGAAAGGGATTTAAAGAGGGTGTTTGTGGCGTGTTGACATCAAAAATTTAATTTGAACAAAGAAATCATGAAATACACCAAAACCACTTTGTACTTCTGTTTCTGCACATCTTAAGGATGCTTCAAGAGGCATGTACGAGACTGTTTTATTTGGAAGTGTTCACTTTTAGTTGTGTTTGTCTGAGGTAAAAACTGAGAAAACATATTTGAATTGATTTCATCTAACCATCAGTTAACATATGCTTAACAAATGTTAACAAATGCTGTTGCTCTTACTTACACGTTAAACAAACTGCAAAATCTGGTACATGCTTACTCCTGAATTAATCCCCACGGAAATTAAGTCCCATCGAGAAAAACCAGGTCAGGTAAATTTCCCTTCCTTCACCGCAATCAAGCATCTCCTACGTTAGCAGTGTGTGCACAGTGTTCATGGAATATACAAATTTAAACATGAGACTCAACTGTGGTTAGAGCAAGCATGGTGTAATTTACTGCCAGTGTAGTTGTGGCGACTGTGTGGCTGCTTTGGATGTGTGATCAATTGGCCGTAAAATGTACAGCGGCTGCAGTGTGGTCAAACATGGCAGTTACCAGCTCGCGCTCTCCGAAGGGCTCGCAGAAAGTGACCGCTCTGCCATGCATCAGTACGCCACATTGCTCTCCAACCTCACAGTTGCTACACTCAGACCTAGAGGAGAGGAGAGGAGAGAAGAGAAGCCGAGCTGTTAGACAAACTACAGTGCAGAAGTAGTGACAGTGACTGCACCCCAACATTACAAGAGGAGTCATAACCTTTTAACCTACCAGATGCTGGGGTCTAGCTCTCCTTGTAGGTTGGAGTCAAAGTCGTCACGCAGCACAGCATGTTTTCCATGAAGCTCCACTACACACATGAAGCACATGCTCACTGTTAGACACCGTCTGTACGATACTTTTCATTATCAATTTTATTTTAAAAAAACAATAGCAAGAAGTGGAATGGAGACTGACCAAGACTCGGTCTCAGTGGGGACTCGGTTGGAGCTGAAACAGACAGAGAAGATCAGAGTGAGTGTTGCTAAGCTATACCTGCATGTCTGTTATCATGTTGCGTCTGAATCTAGCAGAAGCTTACTGATCACAAAGAGCTAAAGAAGGGTGCATTAATGAGTTTTTATCATGGACAAAACTAAACACGCAGACCACACGTCTGTATTTGTCAGAAGAAGCTAAGAAAATGGACCAATCTTGAGCGATCATCTCTGAGTGAAACAAACTTTCGCCGTGTCCTGGTCAGCCATGGCTGCAGTCTCTTGCCTACTGATGTTAATTCCTTTCAGTAATGAAAGGCTGGGCTGTTATGATTAATGGTTCAATGGCAATTAACCGCCTTCCTCCCCAGAGGCGCCCTGTGTGCTGTAATCTGTGGCCGCTGCCTAGACTCAACACTCAACCATCAATCTCTCCTGGGGTATATACGCAGCTCTGAGAAGAGGCAGGAGGTGAATGGAGGGAAGTCATGACTGTTAGGATTTAATGAATCAACTATGGGTCTTAAAAAAATAGTCGCAAAGCCTTGATGTGACCTTTGTGCTGAAACAGATGAAGGAAAAATACGTAGACACACAGTGGGATTTAAAACTTTAGAAATCAAACTGAGGAAAGGTTTGATAGATTAGCTTAATGGAAGCTTTTTTCACTAACTGGTGCTCATGCTTTAATAAAAAACAGGAAAGAAGTGACAAATAAAGTTGTGCATAAACTCAGACCTGCATTAAAAAGGATACTGGTGCAAACTGCAATCATAAATTAGAATATAGTTTGCACACCTTTATTTTATCAGGTTATGGAAATCTCCAAAGTTGATCAAAGCTATCATGCAACTTAGAGAGATTCATTTCTACTTTTAAATTGCAAATAGGCTTTGATCTCACCAATTCCGCTGCACTATTTTACTCTGCTCTGGGATGGTGGGGGGTTTTAAGACAACCTTACTCCTGACTGATGAAACATAACCAGCTGTATTCTCATCCAGGATGAGCCTGCCCACCTGATAAGGTGGTCTAAGATAGCACAGCGTGGATTTGTTCCAAAGTTTAACTTTGAGTTACTTAAGACTCTCTTTCAAGCATTCGAGAAAGCCCACTTAAAAGCCCCTTATAAACAACGGAACCTGAATCGAGAGATGAGGGATTATACAAAAAAGTGTTCTTACAATTGTAATGGCTTTGGAAACGTCTTTACTTTAAGCTCAGCTTTCACTTTCTTTAGCTGCCCTCATTTCTCGCCACTGGATCCAAATGGCGGGCTTTTAGAAGTGGATTTGCTATTCATACAGTGGTGGCAAAGTTTCATGCTGACTGTAGAAGTTTAAGTGGCCTGTGTGACAGAGCTAGCTGGTTCAGTGACTGTGACCACTGCTGCTGCTCTAGTGGCCCCTGATGCTTAGCTAAGGCCAGAGCTCCAGCTTAGTGATGCAGCCCATTAAAAGCAGATCAAAGGGTTATGTTTCCCCCCTTTCTCCATCTTATTTTGTTATTTTCTAATCCTCCCGTGTCTGCTGATGCAGAACATGTTTAGAGAAGCCATCAGTTCAAGCATGTGTGACTCTTTCATGCTTCTTGTATCTACTTTACATTCCTATTAACCTCTAATAAAAATGATCCATACGATTGTGTGCTCAGTTTACACGGCCATGTGCTGATCTTACGTATTCAACCTGAAAAGAGCACGTACTTAAACTCATTTCCTCGTAATCCATCCTCTCAAACAGGCATACAGTCACAAACGCTTGCTTGGTGGATAATTCTGCTCTGTATAGTCTTCTCCTCTCTTGCGTGCTTAAACAAACCCTTCTAAATCTCCTCCAGTCTATCTAGTGAGGCCATTTGGCTGGAGAAAGGCCCAGAAGATTTTTTTTTGGGTGGATAATCCCTTGAAGCTTCCAAAAAGGCCTCATTTACAGTTTTCTTTCTCCCTGCTTCATCACACTCTCCTGCTGTCTCTCTCACTTCTCTTCTATCACAATCTCTCTTTCCTTCTCACCCCCCTCCATCCGCACCCGTCCTGTCTCTCCCTGCCTAACCCTTTGCGCATCGAGAGCAGACAGTGGTGCTCATTTCACTTGGATTAATCCCCTCTCACTTTCTTAAAGACTTCAATTACTGCCTCCTCTATTAGCAGCTCATCTCTGCTAATGCCTGTATCTCCCTGGCCAGGGCTTAAACACACAGGCATGCAAAGACACACACACACATACACAGATGACTTTGCCTTCCACAGCTGACCCAACCCTCTCTGATATTCTCTGTAATACACATGTACACTTATGCACATATGCACAAATAAACAGAAGAAACAAATAAGAGTGCCATTTCAGTAAAATGCACCAGTGCTCAAAGCACATGGGTGCTGATGAGCAGGGTTGGGGTGCTACAATGGGGGACTAAATGAGCATAAGCTTTGGCAGACTCAGACATCTTGGCACAAAGATTGCGGGGCACAAGTCACGTTAAATCTTCTCCCCCTCCGTCTCCTCGCCTTCCAGCTCTAATCTCCTCTTGCTCCTCTTTTCTCCCCACCCTGTAAACTGCATCCACTCTTCCAAACTCCCTTGTTCTCATCTTATTTGCGCTTTTCCCCCCTTCGTCTGACTCACATCCTTGATGACGCGAAGTGCATTTGAAGTCATGTCGCTCTCGTCTAACCGGTGGTTGCAATTACTAACGCACCAGGTTGCAGGAAGCTGTTGTTTTTGATCTGCGGTGACTAAAAAGAGGCGCTTCTCCGAGGTTAGATAGCAGCCACTCCAGTCCATTCAGCAAAAACAGGGCGGCCGAGTGAGCTCTAATTGGAGTTATTACAATAATCACAGGTCTACGGTCTGAACCACCAAAGAAGTAAGACTCACACCTCGGTGCCCACGTTATCTTTGTTTTTCTTCGCTACACATGCTTCTTCACCAAAATGGAATAAAATCATAAAACAAGAGAGGCTTATTTGACTTCTTGTTCCTGTCAGTGTGTTAGAAGCATTATTCTTTAACATGTTACCCCCCCTCAGTTGGTAATGTTTAGCAATGAAAGTAATTCCAGCAAAAACTACACAACAAAAATTGGAAAAAATATTTTTTTTTTTTTAAGTCAGAAGAACAGTTAAGAGCAGAAAATATGGGAAAACATGGCTACAGGAGGGAGTCAGCAGGCCAAGCGAGGGAGACAAACCAACAACCAAGGTCTCACATTTTTTTGTGCCACTGGGCAATATGGAATGGCAAGCAAGATGGCACTCAGCCAGGGAAGCAGGCTGGCTGGCAGACTGGGTGGGTGGCGAGGAGGTGGGAGAGGCTAGGCCACCCGTCCCTTCCCTGTTGCGTTGTGATCAGGCACCCCTTAGGGAGCAGTGGCCTCTTTGAGTTATATGTCCCTTTAATAATCCATCTGGGGTGCAGTGCACTTGGCCAGGCCCATAAAGATCTGATTTATTCTCTTGCTGGAAATGAGACGACTTGGGGATGCTGTGCAGAAAGCAGGGACTGCTGGCCCTGCTGTCAGGTGATAGAACTAATGGACGGCCTACAGCGCTATTCAACACCCTCAATGACTCCACCCTTTAGCAGAGAGCACCCTTTCCTAGCCCTCCCCTACCTTTCTTCATCCCCCACCTTGGCCGCTAATAAGTCTTTCTATGGTCACTCATTAGATGCCTCCCCTCCCCAATCTGTTCTTATACTTCCAGTTATTTGAAACTGTAGGAGTAATTTGAATTTTGCCACATCATTCTTTAAAGCATCTCTAAGAGCCTGTGCTGATTGGTGTCACAAACTACTCCGCCGTGCTGAGCATTTCATTTGGTTGCAGCAGAATTTGTCAGACTCCCATTACGTCTCGACTTCAGAATCCACATATAAAAACAAAATATGGGGATTTTTCCCCCCCCTGTGCAGGTTGTTGGGGTAAAGTAATGGGGTGTAGATCAAAGCAAACTGGAAGGGATGTTAGAGGAATGAATTGGAGGCAGATTGAAGGGATGGGGTAGGGAAGTGTGCTGGCACAGCAGAAAGGAGCTGTAAGCACAGGGGGGAGCAGTGTGTCGGGGACCAGGCATCCCCCAACTCTGCTAGACAGATTATTTTACACACATGTACACAAACACACACACACCCACACAAATCCAGTCCTTGCTTATGTCTTAGCAGGCTATTTTGGAGGGCTTTCTGTTACTGAGAAGCAAAGTGTTGCATATCAGGCGTTCCACCTCGGGTTTAAGGCTTATATCGCCCGTCTCCGTTCTTTATCCTTTAATCGTATATTTACATTAGAATTTATTTGAATTATCTGTGTTGGCCATCTAATTCAAACTCTGACCTTCTTTTCTAGCTCTTTAGCTAATCTGTCCATTTGTTCTTAAAGTCTTCGCCCCAGCTGATCGGCTCTGATTGCCTGCCCTCCTCTTCGCTCCGTCTATCCTTACGTTCTCTTTTTCAACTTCCCTCCCCCTCCTCCGTGGATCATAACCCTGTTTTAGATAGCTTTCATTTCTTCAGCTCTTCAAAGCTGGAGTCTTAAGCATATGAACTTCTAAAGTGGCTTGAGCTGGCCCCATATCTTTTATTTCACTTTGAATGCTAATGTGGAGATTTGAAGTAACTTTGCTCGGAGCTCCCCCCAACACCCACCCCACACCCCTGCACTTTCTTTGCCACTGAAAACAGAAAAATAACCTCTGGTTCTGGCAGAAAGGAAAAATCTAGAGACGGTTGTCTTACCTGCTGGTAACTCGGATTTTGTTGGGGAAAATGAGACAGTAAACATGATTTATGTCCAAGTCCCATCAGCGTTTTTTTGACTTGGTTTTGGCATGATAATACTTTGTATGTTAAACAGCGTTGGTTCTATAACCACACGGTTTATGTGAGGTCAAAGTAGTTCTCAAGTTTCATTTTAATGTCTGAACCTTGCAGTTGTGTGTGTGTGTGTGCGTGTGTGTGTTTAAAGGTACACAGCTCAGGTTTTGGTCTGTAAAGGGGAACAGAATCTGACTGGCTGTGAGTTAGGTCAGTGGTGAAGAGAAAAATGATGCTCGTCGGCGTTAGGACAACCCAAAGGAGACGAAAGCGGGGGTGCTTGTGGCTCAGGAAGTGTCCCGCGGCTCAGAAAATGTCCTTGGGCAAGACACTGAACACCAAAATGACACCGGTGTTTGAGTGTATGTGTAATGGAGCGAGCCGTATGGACAAAAATAAAAAATGATGAATGTGTTTATGTGGGTGTAAAAGCACTTTGAGAGAAAATCACTAATCACTACATAAATGCAGTTTATATTGCTGCATTTATAGCTGTATAAAATCAGCTTCAATCATTTCATGTAAAGAAAATAATCAGAAGCTCACTTATTCCCTCATTTCTCTCCTTGTCTCCTTTTGACTTTTGTTGCCCGTGCCAGATTCATTTCTCATTTATAATTCAGCTTTTCGGGATTAGTGCAGCCTCACAATGAGTGATGCCCCATTAGCTGTCAATTAGCCTGCAACAAGGTCGGACAACCATTCAAATCTACTCTTTATTTTTGGTGATGACATTTAATTACCTCTCCTTCTCTGCCCAACACTTAAATCTGGAATATATGACCTTCAAGCTTTTCATCAACACCGTCTCGTCATCTCCAACATCTTTGTCCTTTTATCTTCCTTCACCAAACGTCTTAGCTACACCTTCAATTTATAGCCCTCTAATTCCTCGACTACCTCTCCCCTGTACCTCTCATCGCTTTCGCCATCCTCTATCCGACCTCGGTTACCTCTCTCCCTGTCGTACCTGTACACGTTCCCTGAAGATTGCATTTAGTGCGTTACCTGACTGCTGGTTTTTCTGTCCATTTCCATTTACAGCTTGTGTCCTCCAAGGCCTTGTAACGTCTAAATCTCTGCTTTTCAGCTTGTCTGCTGTGAGGAGCTGTGTGTTAGTGTGATACCGCGGGGCCTTGGCACTAAACAAGTAAATGACTGTTGTTGGCTGTAGATATTTCATGTGCACAGGGAAAAGACTGGGGCAGTGTGTCACTGGGAGTGAAAGGATGAGCTCTCGGGCAAGGAGACAAAGGAGAGGAGCCTTGTCGCTCTTTCTCTCTGTCGCTCTTCCAGGCCTGACTGGGCTGACTGGGCTCTGTGCCTCATCTCTTCCAAGTGGCACGAAGGCATGAATTCGAACACTCTCTGCTTGGCATGTGTTGCATCCCTACTGGGATGTGCACTTGTAATAAAGAGCCCTCTGAGACCAAGTACAACGATTACTTTTAATCTAATAAAGACCAAGTTCTCCTGTAAGTATTCAGCATGCAGCTCAAATTCTTACTCCGAAACAGTTAGCAAAAACACCCTCGACTGCAGTTACTGTACGTCTCTACTTTCAGCATTAAAGTCCAATTTTGATCCAAAAGGAGGAGTTCTTGAGTGAGGAGGAGGGAGGCTTCTTTCCTGTAAACAAGCAATTATACACACTCAGCGTGCAGAGTGGGACTGCACTGTCTGTCAATAGCTACTTAAGGCTGTCACAGAAAGTGGATGTAAGATGTGTTGGCCATAAAGCATAAATCTCCGGCATAGAGAGAGAGAGAGAGAGAGGGAGGTGGGGGGGTGGGGGTGGGGGGGTTACTGAGTTTAGCATAAGCTGAAATTAAGCTGGCAACATAGGACACCCGAATATCTCTGACTCTGGCTGCATCATTAGGCAGAAAGAAAGCCAGGAAGTGCTGCAATGGCACAGTCATGAAGAAGCAGCGCATCAACTGCTTTGCCATATTTTGATAATATATGCATACAATTTGACAGACAGTAGTAGGAAGTGAGACAGAGGAGCATTATGCATATAAGTTGGTGCACATGTAACATATATATATATCTGTAAGAGCCCATGCATTCATTATGCATGCGTATGCATGCAACATCCCTGATACTCACCTCCTTGCTCACAGAGCTGCTGGGCCAGCGTGTCTTTGAAAAGGATCTGTCCTCGATATGTTGCCGTGGCGCTGAGAAAAAGCAAAAGGAAAGACGGGAGAAACAGAGAAGGAGAGAAAATCATTATTTAAAAATAAAACAAAAAAAAAGATGAAAAGTTTACTAATTTCCTCTAATATTCAATTCAATATTCATTTTGGTGTGATTTTAAAGGTAAAGAAGTCAGATAGATGCATTTATATATTTATATTGACAGAAATGATAAACAAGTGAAAAGACATTGCTGAGCAAACAGACAAACAGTACCAAACAGTACCATTACAGTAAAAATAGAGCATGGGTTATACAATATCCAATATCATCATTCCTCGCACTGACACACTGCATTCCTTGCATGTCCGTGTAAATCTAGCTGTACGCAGCGTGTCATTCATAGAGAATGGAATATGAATTTCCTTCAGGTGGCCATAAAATGCCTTATTCATATGAAAATGGAGAATCTTTAAAAACCTAAGAGGGTGAAATTGTTCAGAGTGCACTGAGATATTTTACACAGATACTGAGACATGCTCTACTGTCCTGTAGAATGAGATCCACTGTAATCTGTGACAGCAGAATGACACTGCGAGCACGCTGAACAAGCTGTACAGAAACCTTGTTCATTCAAAAAATAATAACCACGAAAAAAATACCACTACTGCTGCTGTAGTAGTACTAATCGTAGTAAAAACAGTAAAAGAAAAACGTTTGGTATGTTGTTTATTTAAAAGCTTAGGAGAAGACAGATATAATAAAACGTGAAAAAAATACAAGCTCATAAATCAGGAGGGAGAATGAGGCGCAAAGATCACTGGGTCTGAGAAAAAGCTGCAATTTTCAGAGAGACCTTGAAATGAGTTGTGGGGAAAAATATAAGTTTTAGAGCCCTTTGAAGCTCAGTCCAGTTAGGAAACTTCTGCACAACAACACTACACTTTTAGATGGCCAGTAAAAGCCGTAACTCCCCACTTCTACAATATAACCTACATTTTCCCCACATAATATACGGATGAAAAACAACTGCGGTGTGACTGAGGTCGAAAACATAAAAAAGGAGAAATATCGCAGCTCTAATGTGAGTCTGCTCGTGCTGTTACTACGTGTCCATCAAGGAGAGGAGAAAAGTTGCCTCACTGGGCGCACAGATAAACTTTCAAAAGTGCCCTAATCAGGCTTCGGCATTAATTATTAACATCATATGTGGCTTGTAAACTTGAGCGACCTCCCACACACTCAAACACAACTATGTACACCACCCGCATACACCGATCGAGTCTCTTGAAGGGATACTTGTAAGCGTCCTCTTTCCCACTGTGTGTGCAACGTACAGTACAGATGTTACAGTGCACTACAGCAGTTTTTGTATGCTGCGCCACACCCAGTCAACATACTGTATAGGAGGAGAGGAGGGTGTAGACAATATGGTGCTTGCCTGAGTCACCCGTGAGGCTCACAGACTCGCTTCCTTCTCCTTATTCATCACTCCTCTTTCCTTCCCTACAGTCCAACGTAGATTTTGTCTCTCACCTCACCAAACTTGCCTTTTATGGGTGCCGAGGCATTTACGCGTTTGTCTCAGCTCATGAATAATGAATAGACCCCCTTATTAATTAATAAAGACCTCTTGTGCTTGCGCAGAGTGGGGAGAAAACACACTTAATTACAGTCATATTTCAGAATTCGGTGAAAACTAATTTGAGGCTGGTATTTATGAATAAAAGATGGCGCGTAACGAACAGCGGGTGGGGATGTAGGAACAAGGCCCTTAAATATTTACTAAACACACTCTCTGCTCAAGTACACTAAACAGATTCTGTTAGGTGCCAGAGGATGTGTGTGTGTGGAGGGCGGGGGTAACGTAATATAAAATCAAAAATACTTTCTTAGTCTCCAAAAAACACAAAACAAAAAATAAAACAATTAATGTGGCAGATTTTCAATAGAAATGAGAGATATTTCCTTTAAAAAGTATGTGAGAGGTTGGTGTGACTTAATAAGATGTATGTCATTAAAGCAGCAGCCAGGAGAGGGCATTTAGTCTGAGCCGACAAGTGTGTGATCAGCACAGCACGACGCCGTCTCTGTCCTGCCGTCACACTCCAGTGGTTCCTCGGTGTGTCTCTCATTACCGTCTGCACTCTGGTAGCCACACACACACGCAGGCAGCGAACAGTACCGATACATGCAAAACAATTACTGCACATCTAAATGTTAATTTGACTTTCTTTGAGGGGTGGGGTGGGTGGGGCAATTAAGGGCCTTAATGTGTTGGTGTTTTTTTTCCCCACTCTCTTCCCTTCTCTGATTCAACCGAGGGATCATTCATCTTCTGAGAATAAGTGTCATCCTCACTCCTCTCATTAGTCTGAAGGAGAAAATCTGAGACGGGAAAGAGAGGAGGGGATTGAGGAAGATGAAGAAAAAGCTGGGATCTAAGAGAGAAAGAAAGATGGAAAAATGGACGGGGAAGGGGAGGGGGTTGGGTTATAAGGTTCGAGGAAACTGAGACAGGAGAGGGGGGGTTAGATGGCCTTGTCTTTCAAAGTCCACAATCTGCTGTCAAATAGCGAAGCATTGGAGTAAAGGCGGGAACGGGCACACACAATTGAAGCCATATACGAGTTTTAACATGTACGCAGATGGACAGCCTGTCACTCACGAAGCTCCCAAAAGGGCTCGGAGTGGGTAATTACCAAGCATGTCTTCCATGTTAGATTGCATGTTGCTGTCGGCCATAAGTATCCCCCAGGAGCCAACTTGACAGCTCTCTACTAAACCACTCTCACATGCACGCATACACATATATTTATATGAACGCAGTGCGAATGCAGCCGATTTACCCAAGAACACAAACCCATATACATATTAAATATAGCTACAAGATACGACTTTAGTCAACACTCTCATCCTCTCTTCCTCAAATCCCAATTAAAAGCTCATTTTCTCTCCCGGCTCACTATTCCTGTTGGTAATCATGATTAATACGAGGACTTTGAGTGGGGTAGAGTTCTAGTCGCTAGCACTGATTTGGTGCATTTGGACCTAGCCCTTAAAATAATACACGCTAATTGGTTGATTTATCTTCCATGTTGAGGACCAGCTGTGGTTATGACACCGCAATCAGGGACAATAGAAAAAGATAAAGAAGTAATGAGACGGGCAAAATCCACATTCTGGTGTCTTCCAGAACATTCGGCAATCAGGAGCTCTGATAAAAAATAAAATGTAGTCTTGATTCGTTACTGTGTGAAGGTGCAGTTGGCTTTGTGGAATCACATTACTCCCTATCCCTCTGACTGCCCCTAAATTAATTAATTGAAAAAGGCTTTCGGAGAACATGCAAATTTAATGAAGCTCCACAGAAGAGGGATTTGGGAGTTGTTTGGCAAATTACCTGCTTGTTAGCACAGGGTCATTGAGAGTTATGGCTCAGAATACAGCCAGAAGAAGAGCGGTTATTGCTCGGCATACAGCTTGAGGAGAAGAGCAATTGACCTTGACTACTGTTAGCGAGTAATAATTAGGGAGATTAGGAAAACCACAGTGTTTAGAAGTAAATATGCGAGGAAGGCAAGGGAAAAAAAAAATCAGCTTGTAAAAACTGCAGATTTTTAAGTGCAGATAAAGGCATGTGCTGCTAAAAAATGACTTCTTCTAAACTTGAGAAAAAGCAGCAGTAAAATGTCCCCTTTTCTTCAGGACAAAAGGAGGAGACGGGGAAGAATGAGCTGTATTTACCCAGCGTCAACAACGAGGGAGATGAATTCCTGCCCGACCGTGTCTGTTATATCTCGTGCGCATTCACAGAACGGGCAGTGCAGAATGCGAATGAATAATTTGACACGAAATACATTTGGGGCAGCCCGGCTCTCCCTGGTTCATTATGCTGCATTTAAAATCAAGTGCTTGCCTTTTTTCAGTCTTCATGCTCTATTTCACCTGGAACTGTTGAGGTGGTCAACATCCCAGCAGGTAGGACAGCGCCCGCTCTCTTGATAATAAGACCGTGCGATGACAGTACAGCACTTATGTGTTGTGGACAATATGTGGCAGTATCGATCAGAGCACTGATGCATACACATGTGTGTGGATGTGCGCCTCTGTGTACACAGGGGTATGTACATAATTACAGGGGTCAGGGGCCATCCCTGGGGAAATAAGACAATATCAATAATGGAAACACGTCTGCGGTCAACAGCAACAGGAGCTTGGGTTGTCCAGAAAATGTCCAAGATTTACCGTTAAATTTGAGAAACTGTGATATTTGAAAAGTTTAAGAAAGGTTAAGAACATGAATGTGTTAGATATAAGAGTTGCTGTCTTATATGGGAATTTGTGATATATGAAAATTGGAATTATATGGACGGACTGTGTCAGATTTGCAGCTCTAGTCGGTTCTGGCGGGAGGAAAAAAAAGGGTCGGATTTATGTCCTCTGTCATCGTTCACATTTCTCCCCCATATATCTGTATCTACATTGCCAAAATGAGATTACCTGGCCTGAATCGATCCCTCAAGTTCCTCAGCCAAGTGTCTACAGTTAATCTGCCACAGGCTACAGGCCAATGTGGAGCTTTAATGACGAAGAGAGCTCATTAACTACTGATTATATGTTAAAACAGACTCAAAGATTGACTTGAATAACAACAAATCAATGGAGCTGACGAATACCCGGAGAAATTAGAAGCTGGCTGAGATAGATCACCCGTCAGTCCTTTGACCCTTGACCTCCGATTAGCTGTCTATCATTCTGTCTGTCAATATTACTCTGCTAGATGCTTAAGACACAGACAAATTATTATAAGATGAAATAAAAACTCTAACTTAAATATTTCTGGATGTTAAAACATTTTTTAGAGTGCCTAAAAGCAGTAAATCACTGCAACAATACAACCATTCTTATTATTTCACATGGAGCTCCCTAAGAGCTAAGCAAATGGTGCAAAAGCACCCAAATAATGCTCTTCCCATGCAGCAGCAGACTGTACAGTCTATGCAATAGTGCACTATACATTTCACAAACTCTATGTTCT